AGAGTGTCAGTACTGCACCTGATCAAGTCTGAATGATCATGGAAGGTAAAATAATGATCACAACTATTACATTATTTTAATTCTGCATCCCATGCAAGTAAAAAACAGCCCAAAGTAGCGCAATGACCATGTCCCGAACATCAAAATATGTCATTTCCATTCCTAAAATACATATTTTACGGTCAATGTAATGCACATTGATCATAAACACAGCTCAAAGGCTTCCTACTAGTGGCCCTCCTTCACAAAACATTTAGCACAGTTTTATTACAGGTAGAATGCAAAATGTTTGAGTAAAAGCATTTCAGTCAAATGTAATTTATGTAATATTTCAAACCTTTAACCCACTGGGGAAAATCAACCCATGGCAACAGTTTAAAATCATTGACAAATATCTTATATCGTAAGGTGTGCTCCCTTTACACAGTGTGCGTGCGATCACAAAATCAAAAGTGAAAGTGAACTGCGACTGCTAGCGCTCATTCAAAAGCCATTAAAATACCCCACATATTGATAGCGGCTCCCTGATGCGCGAAAAATTATATACAATATTAGAATGTTTGCGGGAGCGGACACAAAATTCACGGGAGCAGATGGGAGCTGGCGGTAATGGTCAGAAATTTAGCGTGAGCGGGATCAACAAGCCCCGTGCTATCACGCAGCGCGCAGTCAGTCAGTGAGCGCCGTAACAGATGACGTCAAATCTTGCGGGATTCCATAAATAAACTACACAGAACCCCACTATTCGACAAATATACATAATGAAAAGATTATACAAAATTTTATACTTGGCTTGGAAAATGGCATTTAAGACTTTTTAATACTTTTTGAAGGCCTTAATTTTCTCTAAATTGATTTATCAACTTTTAATAGTTTTTAAGACCCCGCGGACACCCTGGTTTATGTAATCGTTCAAAGCCAATAAGGCGGCAAAAAATGCACGCTCCGCTCACACAGAAACAGAGACGGCGCACGCATATATCTCTGTTGTTTGTGTTTCAACGGCTTAAAATAGGTTGTTTTAAAACTGCAGTGCTTAAAAACGTGTGTCCATGCTACAGATGTAGTCCCTTGTTTAGGAACGAGCTCCTCGTTTTGTCCTGGCTGTTTGTTCTTCACCTGGTTCTGTCTCCGCTTCACGCTTCCTGGTGGCGTGTAAGATTGCAGTCATCCAAATGATGAAAAAGTATTGCCGTAAACAATGTATTTTGCGACTCCACGAAATAAACGATAAGCATCATATGAGCATAATATTAAACAATATACTTTTTATTTCGTCCATCCAATATATGTCGTTATATCGCACAGCCCTATTTACAATTAGTTAACATTAATCAATGCATTAACTAATATTAACTAACAATGAACAATACATTTGTTACAGTATTTGTTAATCTTTGTTAACATTAATTAATAAAAGCACAACTGTTCATTGTTAGTTCATGTTAATTCACAGTGCATTAACTAATGTTAACAATCATAACTTTTGATTTTAATAATGCATTAGTAACTGTTGAAATTAACATTAACTAAGATTAATAAATGCTGTTAAAATATTGTTCATTCTTAGTTCATGTAACTAATGTTAATTAATGAACCTTATTGTAAAGTGTTACCAATATGTTCATGTGTGTAACAGATCAAAACATAAGTTTAAAAAAAGTTGTTCAGACGAATTTTTATGATGCTTTTTGTTGTCATTTGAGCCTGACAGCTGTAGTCCTCGTGTACTTTGATTATACTGAAAAGAGTGAGAAGGATATTCTTTAAAAGTTCTCCTTCTATATTCCACTGCAGTAAGCAAGTCATACAGGAACAACTTATGAGTAAATAATGACTGCTCCTAAGGTGAACTATTTATTTTCTAATTTATTTCTGTCCTCATCAGATGCTGACGCAGGAGGTGCGTTTTTTTCTTCCTCGCATTCGATCAGCATTTACAGGCTTGTTTTTATTATTCCCTTGTCACAGCAATGGCCAAATGTGCTGATGAAATTTGCTAATAATTTCTGTTTCACAATCTCAGAGCTGCCAAGGCGTAATGCTTTATTTCTTGCAGATTTTATTTAGAGCTTAGAGATTAATGTGAAATAGACTGCATGAGAAATCCAATATGAGCTGGGAAAGAAAAGACAAGCACAGCATACAACCGCTATAGCCCGCTTAAACGCCATCAGGGAAGGTCTTACTAACCAGGCACATTTCCCACTGGACTTTCATACAGACGCCTAATAAATATATAATCAAACATTATATAATATAACATTACATTCCCTTGCTCTTAAGAAATAAAAAATGTTGGGTAATGTGCAGAATCTGCAAAAAAGACCCGTAAGACATATTCATGATTCGGAGTCTGACATTTAGTGACTCAATTTGATGAACACCAGTATGAACTGCGCCATACAGAAACATAAACGCATTAAAACATATGAAGTACCTGCGGCTGGACAGATCTCCCTTGGCTGACATGGACGATCCATGCGAGTGCAGATAAGAGGGTGGACGGGAGGCCTGGGGACCCCGGCGGATCAGTTTGCCGGTGACGGGGTCATATGTCCGCATTTCCAGCGCTGGCAGGGGCTTCTGCTGAACAGGAGGGGCCTGGAACAGAGGCTTCGGGACGGACCCGGGGATGTCTGGATACGTGGCGGGACTATTGCTCCTGGACGACAGTAAAAGATGTTGTTTAACCTCTAATCTTAAAAATTAACCCTCCTAAGCTTTTTAAAAAAGTGTCACACCTTGACTGTTCGTGGTCATTTTTACACGTACTTTTTCAGGTTCAAAATGACCCCCCAACAGTCAGGGGGTGGGGACGGGTGAAGTACTGTATATTAGGGGTGTAATGGTACACAAACATGACGGTTCAGTACGTACTTCGGTTTTGACGTCATGGTACGGTACAGCAGGGGAAAAACTAAACTTTTTTTTTTTTATTAAACAGTGGTTTACTGAACAAAGTGCTCTTTCTTTAAATAAATTCAATTATAATTAATTTTCTTATGGATAAAAATCTACCTCAGCTTATGCTCTAAACTACAGTGAGCCCTTTTACATTAGGCCTACTATAAGGTTACAATTAAAAACAGAGCCCAAACTTAAATTTAATTAGGCTACTATTTATTTTTAAACATAATAATCAACACTCAATTAAAAAAA